GGTTCACTGGGTTTTTTCTAGGCTTGATTGTGTTTATGGGGTCCAGTCTAACATGTGTTAATGCTTTGTTTAAAAAAAAAAAAAAAGCATTATTTTTCACATAATTTACCTTTACTCCACACAGCTCTGTCCCTTCTCTGAGAAACGGGCTGATCTTTTCCTGTTTTTATGAAGCCCCGCCCTCAGAAATAGACGATGGGCTCTGATTGGTTAGCTAGCCCAGTGTGTTGTGATTGGCTAAACCGCCTCTAGTGTGCGTCTAAGCATCCCACCCCTCACTTCAGCGGCATGTGCTCCGGTTGTATTGTTAACAATGGCATCGTTAATATCGCTTATCAGTTTGAGCCCGATTGACAAGCAAAGGGTATTATTGAAGAGGATCGTGCAGAACCTGTGCAAGCACGGCTTTTAATGGTAGGCCTATGTTTTTTGTTTGTTGTTGTCTCATATGTTTAGATACGCTGTTGTAAATGCTACTGCTTATGTTAGCTTGTAATATACGGTTTTATCCTGATTAAAGCTTTAATACAGTACAGCAACCGCATGTTTAATGCATCTCATAGCTATGTGAAAATAAGTGTATAACTGAAACAGTTCATTGTTGGAGCTGAGCTGAATGAGAGAGAGAGAGAGAGATGCAGAGCGTGTGCAGAGCAGGGGGACGCGAGGAACAGTATTAAGAACTGCTGCTTTAGAACATTGATTTTGAAACTTGTGAATCCGTTAGAATCGTTAGAAGACAGAATCGCGATTCATATATGAATAGATTTTTACGTGCACCTCTAGTTTTTTCTTCCTCTTCTCTAAAGCAGCGCAGCATGGCCTCGCCCCCTTTGCTGCCTTTTCCCGAGGGCGGGGTTTATCTGGGTTTGTGATGTCACAAACCTGGGAAGTAACTTGTTGTAGTCCCTACCAGCCGTTTTTGTAGGCATTAAACTGCCAGAATTTTAAAAGACAATATCTCCGTTTGCATTGAACTTTCAGCTTTGTAACTTTGCAGATATTGTTTATGCTCAAACAGCAACATTACACACAAAATAACCATTGTGAGTAACAGGCAGCAATGTTGTTTTATTGCTGAATGAATCAGGGTATTTGAAAGAATCAGTTAAATAAAAGATTTAATGACCTGAATGAATCAGTGTTTTTGAACAAATAAATAGAATGAATGATTCAATGACTCTCCCACATGTTTAATTTCTAAATGAATAAGTTGTTTTGCATGAAATGGTTGAGTGAATTTTTTTAAAGGCAGTTCTTGGTTTCATTCCTGAATGCATATGTTTTTTAACAAATCAGTTGAGTTAATGATTCAAATAACTCTTCATGAGGAGGTACCTCATGAAGAGTTACTGGTTTACAGTTACAGTGTTTATCAACAGATCTGTTAAATTAATTAATGACTCACTCATTTGTTGCTATCTACTCATTTCATGATGTAACCCGCAGAAAAAGGTAATTGAAAAATCCCCTCTACGTATACACAGACTGAATGTCTGTCTGTAAACACAGACAAGCAGATTATGTTAAAATAAGCTATGTTAAAATAGTTGTTTTATTCTTCTAAAAAAAATGTATATATGATTGAGTTGTAGTTATATCATGATTTTTTTTTTATCTAGCTGCTTTGAATTCATTGAGACTGCATGTGTGAATTATTGAGTAATTGGTTGATTAAAGGTTTGAGTTATTACATCAGCCTCAGAAAACATTAATCAGGATGAACCCAGGGGAGATGTCATTGATTAAGTAAACCAGCCTAGAGGCAGTGAAGTTCAACTGTTACTGAACATCCTTGCATGTGATATTCATGTAAAAGAATGATAAAATTCAACCATTATTGATTACTCCTAAAAGTGGATTGTATTTGTTCTAATGTACTGTATTCATTACTTTGACATATTTTATAGTATATTTGCTTCAGAGAGATACTGTAAATCAGCTGATGTGCGGGCATTTATATTGTCAGTTGCTAAAAAGGTTAAATCTTTTGTTTAGGTATAATGAATTTTTGAGGAATGGGAAACACATTTGTGTGCCCAGTCAGTTGTGCTTGAACATTAGCATAATATATTAACCCGGCTCCCTAATACTTGATACTCCCTAATACATTTTGATTGGTCAGTCTTGGCAATCTGCATAATTTTTGTTTAATAACCAACAAACTGTACTTAATTAGTTTATATCTTTCATATAATCCCACAGTCTCTTTCATCTCACATAATGAAATCATTTCAAACCAAATCAATATTTCATGTCCATTTATTTATTTGCTAAGTCTCTGCATAATTAGCTCAATAATATACAGTGAGCCAGTTATTATCACTGAAGAAACCCCTTAAGGATGATAAAGACCCTTTAATCGAAGGGTTTATTCTGTGACAGTGACTGAACTGACTGTACATTGAGTCACATTGGGGGCAGTCATGGCCTAATGGTTAGAGAGTCGGACTTGTAACCCGAAGGTTGCGGGTTCAAGTCTCAGGTCTGGCAGGGATTGTCGGTGGGGGCAGTGAATCTCCACCTTCAATAACATGACTGAGGTGAGACCCTTGAGCAAGGCACCGAACCCCCAACTGCTCCCCAGGCACTGCAGCACTGGCTGCAGAGCACAAATTCCAAGACACACGTCATGTCCTTTCCTTTCCTTACATATAGAATCAAGCAATTTTCTGGACAAATCTTTAGTTCCTTGCAATGTTACAATTAAACATCTCTCATCTAATTTACATTCTTATCAGGCTATAATCAATGCATAGTCAGCAAGAATTATTCCACACAATTACTTTAATGTTCTGATGGTGGTACTACACTAGGTAATCATTATATTCCTCTTTTTGTATTTTTTTTAAGTACTGTACATGAGGAGACATAACATATTTTAGTGTGTACTACCTACACACATAATCGATTGAATCTCTGGCTGTGTTCTGGCTGCAGAGCACAAATTCCAAGACACACGTCACGTCCTTTCCTTTCCTTACATATAGAATCAAGCAATTTTCTGGACAAATCTTTAGTTCCTTGCAATGTTACAATTAAACATCTCTCATCTAATTTACATTCTTATCAGGCTATAATCAATGCATAGTCAGCAAGAATTATTCCACACAATTACTTTAATGTTCTGATGGTGGTACTACACTAGGTAATCATTATATTCCTCTTTTTGTATTTTTTTTAAGTACTGTACATGAGGAGACATAACATATTTTAGTGTGTACTACCTACACACATAATCGATTGAATCTCTGGCTGTGTTTGTATGTGTGTTCATATAAATTTTTTTTTTTATTGGTGTTTTGCCTCACATAATATTGTTCCCATTTAGAGACTCACACCTCCCAAAAGAACTGCTGTTTATACCTTGTGTGGATATTGTATTTGATATACATTCTGTACGCACGGCATGAAGAGTGTGTGAGGTCATGTGATAAAAAAAACAAAAAACAATTATTAGTTTATTTTCTCTGAAATATCAGTTTTCATTTGCTCTGTTCTGTGACATAAAAGCTACCACAGATCCCTAGTTTCCAGACTCGTGATCTTTATTGTTGAATGTTTTATAGTCATTTATAGCTTTCTTATGCAAACATATTTCCACCACAGAATAAAACAACGCAAAAGGTTATTGCCAGGGATGCACATAAGTGATGCACAGCTGTGCATGCATGACCAAAATAAAAAATGTGCTGGGTAAACAAGTTCGGACCGCTCATTTGTGTACCAACACGGTTGACAGCTGTTAATGCACAATCACCATTTTAGATTGACTAACTGTAGTACTGTATAATATTTCCATTCCAGCTGAAAGCATAATATACTCTATGCCCTGCCAGTTTCACAGCAAAATGCAAAACTGTGACATTTCATTCACTGACGCTCTTTACTCGAGAGGGCTAAAACCAACAGTGCACATACTTACTTGCCACCAAAATAAAAGCTTGCTGATTTTAGGTTTGACAATTATGATAATTCATATTAAAAAAATAACAAACAGAAAGAAAGAAAGAAAGAAAGAAAATGTAAATGTAAGCATTGTATAAAGGGTACCATAAAATTATTGTATTTTATGTAATACTGTTTATTTTAAAATATAATAGTATTATCACACGTCATTATTTAATAAAAAAAAAAACACAAAGTAAGCAAAGCGCAATAATACTATTATTATTATTATTATTATTTTTTTTTTTTTTTTTTTATGTTGTTTACAGCATGTGGAGGTTAATTATGCATTTTATGGGCCATTTACAATCTGCTCCGAGAGATGCCACAATGTCCTTCTCACCTCCTGAAGGACTTGTCAGGGAACATAAACCATTCATGCTCTACTAGTGAGTTTCTTTGTCTCTTGACCATGACACACACACAGCCATAGCCAGCTTTAACAATCATCACCGTGACGGTCCTATGAATCAACTTACAGCACCCTGCCACCCTTCACATTGACTTTCACTCATAGTCTCATGTCTGTCCTCCTGGAAAATGATCATGCTTACCACTGTTTGGAACAACAACTTCCAGACCATTGCTGATGAGAGTGATGCAGATGCGAGTGACTCAAATCAAATTAAAAAAAGACTGAGAAAACATATGGTGTGACACACTGATCTTTTAACTTTTACCTCAGTAAATAATTCATCATCAAAGGTTTATCTAAGGCTCTGTTTACACCTGGTATTAAGATGCAGTTTTGTCAATCCAATCACAAGTAGACAGCACTAAATACAGGCGTAAACAGGGTTTTGTATTGTTGTGAGCTCCAGATGTAGTCGACAATGCATTCAACCGGATTGCATTCGTAGTGTAAATGCTCATTAAGCTAAATGCTTTCAAATGGCCGCAATAGACCACCTTCTCTCTGCCTGCTGATCTAATCCTTAAACAATATTTCAAATATTCCTTGCAGTAAGCCAGCACAAGGAACATACTCTTCATTATGTTTATATGACAAACTTATGTTTGTTTGTTTTTTTCTTTTCTGCCTCTTTCTACAGCAACTAATGCGAGAGCACCAGCAGATGGCCAGTCGTCCGTTTGCGTCTGTTACAGTGGCACTTGAGACTCCAGAGGAAGAGGAGGAGCTTCTGCAGGGCCAGGTGGAGGTGGGTACTTTCAATCGTAGGTTTGTAGATATTCAATAGTTATTTACCTACTATATTTCAATTGAAAAAAATTCAAATAAGAAAAAAAAGAGTACACCCCCTCAGAAGCTCAACAAATTCAGCAATTACTCCTTACTATCAAATCATTTTTTTTAAGTGTGAACGTATAGCAAAAGCAACAGAGAAATTCAAAAACAATGGACTTGTGACTAAAGGCTGGCAAAAGTTATGAAAATAGTATTGTAACTGTTTGCAACATGCAGAAGTGAAATGCATGATTGTTGTCCAAACAGGAACTACCTACCGTAGCCAAAGCACAGTGAACTCATTTAGCCTTTTCCATACTCTGGTCTCATTAGACCAAGTCAGTCATTTTGGATCTAACAGCATCTAAAATGGTGTGGCATTGATGGGGGAGGAGTACAGTGAGAAGTGCCTGGTTCCCACACTGAAGTTC